TGGAGTAGGTGCACCGGGTCAAATTGGTGGCGTGTACGGTCAACCTGGTCAACAAGGAGTATTACCAGCACAACCTGGAGTAAGTGCACCTGGTCAAATTGGTGGTGTGTACGGTCAACCTGGTCAACAAGGTGTATTACCAGCACAACCTGGAGTAGGTGCACCTGGTCAAATTGGTGGCGTATACGGTCAACCTGGTCAACAAGGTGTTTTACCAGGTCAACCTGGAATAGGTGCACCTGGTCAAATTGGTGGCGTGTACGGTCAACCTGGTCAACAAGGAGTATTACAAGCACAACCTGGAGTAAGTGCACCTGGTCAAATTGGTGGTGTGTACGGTCAACCTGGTCAACAAGGTGTATTACCAGCACAACCTGGAGTAGGTGCACCTGGTCAAATTGGTGGCGTGTACGGTCAACCTGGTCATCAAGGTGTATTACCTGGACAACCTGGAGTAGGTGCACCTGGTCAAATTGGTGGTGTGTATGGTCAACCTGGTCAACAAGGAGTATTGCCAGGACAACCTGGAGTAAGTACACCTGGTCAAATTGGTGGCATTTACGGTCAACCTGTTCAACAAGGTGTATTACCAGGACAACCTGGAGTAGGTGCACCTGGTCAAATTGGTGGCGGGTACGGACAACCTGGTCAACAGGGTATATTACCGGGACAACCTGGTCAGCTAGGTGTCGCACCTGGCCAACCGGGTGTAGGAGCAGGACAAATTGATCAACTTTATAACGTACCCGTTCAACCTGGTCAACAAGGATTACTACCAGGTCAATTAGGTGTTGGTACAGCACCAGGACAAATTGGTGGTGTTTTTGGACAACCTAGTCAACAAGGTCTTGCACCAGGACAACCAGGTGTTAGTGTTGGTCAAATTATACCTGGACAAATTGGCGGTATTTACGGACAGCCTGGTATAGGTGCAGATCAACTTGTACCTGGACAACAAGGCTTATTGCCGAGTCAGCCCGGAGTTGGAGGAGGTTTATTGCCACCAGGCCAACTTGTTGGCGGTTATGCACAACCTGGTGCTGTGGGACTTCCTTCTGGATTTACCGGTGTTACTGGTCCGATAGGTCAATTTGTAGGTGAGTATAAAACAGAAGGTAATTTATAGTTTCTAACTCATATGTAAAATACTTACGCATGTACTATTTGTGAAAGGTGTTCCAGGTTCATTAGTTACTGGGGATGGTACAAGTGGAGCGGATGATGCATTTTCACAAGCTGAGTCTTCAATAGCTGATGGACAGGCAGCTGCAAGTGCTCAAGGAAAGAAGAATGGAGGTACAGCAAAGACTCAAGTCTCTGGTACATATAGCTCTTCTGGTACATTTAGTGCAAGCGCAATGACTTCAGATAGTGATCGTTCAGCAAATGCACAAGTTAGTGGAAGTGTTGAGGGTGCAATGAGTCAATCGCAAGGCCAGGGAGGTGCAGCACAATCACAAGCTCAGGTGCAAGTCAATTCAAAGAATGGTGGAACTAAAGCATCATCGCAAAGTGGAGGAATAATTCATCAAAGTCAAAGCGAAGTAAGAGATCAAGTTTTCTAATACCAGTGAAGAGTAGATTTTAACTTATCTATACAGGTTCAAGCAAACGATAAGGGAGGATTAGCTGATGCTCAGTCTAGCGGGCCAGGCCAAACATCATCACAAGCACAAATAGGTTTCCGTCCTAGACAAGATGGCACCGAATTAATTTCATCAAACGGTGGTGGGCAAGCTTCTGCTCAATCTGGTAGTCACTCAGGGCAAAGCCAGTCTCAAATACATGGCACATCCAAGTAAATACATAAGATATTTTTACTGACAAATTCAATTTATTAAATTACGTATTAAGATATGGCGTATCTTACCATGGTGCTGCACAATCGGCTTCAGGTACAAAAGAACAAGTGGCAACTTATCGTGAGCAAAACCGAGAATTATTTCACTCCATTAGCCAGTTTGGAAATGGTGATGCGTACGATTTTAACATTTAATATAATGAAGAATGTAATAACAGACTTTCTTTTAGTGTAACGGATCGTGTAGATACTCTATACAGTGGCCCCGCATTAACTGCTGAACCGGGACTATTACCCGATTTACAATTAAAAGCGTCAAAAACCAGTAAAGAAAGTAATATTCTTTAGATCACTTAAAAATTATTTTTTGTTAACAACTTTTATTTAGCAGCAATTAATAAAGTAAACAATGAATCAGGTACTTTGGCGGAAGATGAAGATGACGAAGAACCATACGAAGATTATGACGACGAAGACGATTATTATGAAAACCCGATTAAGATGGACTCAAATTCCAATACTCCCAAATCTGATGGAAAAGATAATAAAAATGAAACCCCAACATTACCCAGCACTTTTACACAACAATCTCCAACGCAAGTACAAAAGGTAGCGATAGCAAACGCTAATGATAAATATACAGTGGTTCAAAACCAAAATGGACGTGAACAAAGATATCCAATTCGCACTACAACACCAAATGTTCCAAGCGGTTTTCGTGGAACTGTAAATGTTGAAAAAAAATTCCATACAAAAGCACTTGAATCGCACACAACAGAAAATAATGTTGATGGCAACTCTAAAGATCATGAACACAGTAAAATTCCGACACCAGACAGTTATGTGACAGTAACCAAATCAGTTACTGGCAGCATGGATAATACTAAAAACCCACCGCAAGAGAATAAAAATTTCCAATCAACATATTACACGAAATCATCAACCTGTGGTTATTTCACTTTCTCATGCAACATTGTATATGGCGCCAATGGTCGAAGCAAAATCTGTCGTCCCAAAGCGCCAACCAATGGAAAATGCTAATGCCAATCTATTTCCCTAAAATTATATTAAAATAATTTACTATTAAATTACATTAAAATACATATGTTTTATACGTTTAACAAATAATAGAATAATAATTTAAACAAATGCTATATGTATGCAACATATTTAATGAAACCATCAAATATCCACACCCACTGCCTTAACTTTTATTCAACTTATTTTGTCTGTTGTACTGACAATTTTTGTAAAAATAAATTTTAATACATTCAAATAAAATCAAAACATTGTCATATATTTAATTAAAATTTTTAAATTTTTAAAAAAGCTATAATATTATTTACTTCTTTCCATGAAATGGAATCGAAGACGTATATAATATTAACTGGAGAGCAACAACCGACAGGACAACAGTAGCACTATTACCCTAAACAATCTTCTATTAATATATAATATATAATCATATAATCATATTTTTTAATAGTAAAATTCTTTAAATAATCAAATAATACATGTGTAGCCGCCGATATTCTCAATAATCACAGTAAGCTGGATTACAATTCAAATAAGAAAAGAAAATTATTTTCTGAGAAGAAGTTTCCAGTTTCCTGATTAAGGAAATAAACAGAACGTAATAAATAACTTTTAAATTTTTAGAAGGGTTTTCGAATAACAAAGAAAGAAATAAAGGACAAACACAAAAATTTATTTTTTAATTTTATTTTGGCTGACCATACAACGCTGTTTCGAGTATTGCCAAGTACTCTTCATCAGTGGTCTTTGGGAATAATCGAATTTTATTTAATTAGTTTATAGTCCGTATATAATTTGTTTGGACTGCAAGTGCCAGGCTTAGAACTCGTGCCTGTCAAATTAGAAGCGATGACTAATCGTGTTTATCCACAAGAAGCCAAGGCTGCACAAACTTTCAATGCTCAAGTTCCAGGTTTTATTGTCACTTATTTTTATTTAATTAGTGACACTAACCAACGCACTTGCCGTGCTTTTAAATAGAACGAGCTTATAAACTTCAGCTTTATTTTTGAAACACAAGTTCAGCGAATTGAAAGTTAACTTTTGGGTTTGCCTATTCTTTATTTTTTTCAAAGCTACTCTTTTTGTAGAGACATTTTGTAATGCATATTGTTTTACTTACTATATGTAAAGCGACCATTTTGGTGCTTTTACAAAGAAGCTATGCTATGTTATTCTACAAATCCGCTTTCGCGGTTAGGAAAAGTTGAACAATATTATATTTTAACATATTGTTCTTTACTTTTCACAAGTCTAATATTTGAATAAAGTATTCGTGTTGCTGTAAAGCTTTGCTTTCTTTGTTTGGTGTCACTAATTTATTAAAATTTAGTGACAATAAAACCTGGAACTTGAGCATTGAAAGTTTGTGCAGCCTTGGCTTCTTGTGGATAAACACGATTAGTCATCGCTTTTAATTTGACAGGCATGAGTTCTAAGCCTGGCACTTGCAGTCAAAACAAATTATATACGGACTATAAACTAATTAAACAAAATTCGATTATTTCGAAAGACCACTGATGAAGAGTACTTAGCAATACTCGAAACAGCGTTGTATGGTCAGCCAAACTTCAATAAAATTAAAATAAATTTTTGTGTTTGTCCTTTATTTCTTTCTTTGTTATTCGAAAACCCTTCTAAAAATTTAAAAGTTATTTATTACGTTCTGTTTATTTCCTTAATCAGGAAACTGGAAACTTCTTCTCAGAAAATAATTTTCTTTTCTTATTTGAATTGTAATCCAGCTTACTGTGATTATTGAGAATATCGGCGGCTACACATGTATTATTTGATTATTTAAAGAATTTTACTATTAAAAAATATGATTATATGATTATATATTATATATTAATAGAAGATTGTTTAGGGTAATAGTGCTACTGTTGTCCTGTCGGTTGTTGCTCTCCAGTTAATATTATATACGTCTTCGATTCCATTTCATGGAAAGAAGTAAATAATATTATAGCTTTTTTAAAAATTTAAAAATTTTAATTAAATATATGACAATGTTTTGATTTTATTTGAATGTATTAAAATTTATTTTTACAAAAATTGTCAGTACAACAGACAAAATAAGTTGAATAAAAGTTAAGGCAGTGGGTGTGGATATTTGATGGTTTCATTAAATATGTTGCATACATATAGCATTTGTTTAAATTATTATTCTATTATTTGTTAAACGTATAAAACATATGTATTTTAATGTAATTTAATAGTAAATTATTTTAATATAATTTTAGGGAAATTTATTGGCTTGCATTAGCATTTTCCATTGGTTGGCGCTTTGGGACGACAGATTTTGCTTCGACCATTGGCGCCATATACAATGTTGCATGAGAAAGTGAAATAACCACAGGTTGATGATTTTGTGTAATATGTTGATTGGAAATTTTTATTCTCTTGCGGTGGGTTTTTAGTATTATCCATGCTGCCAGTAACTGATTTGGTTACTGTCACATAACTGTCTGGTGTCGGAATTTTACTGTGTTCATGATCTTTAGAGTTGCCATCAACATTATTTTCTGTTGTGTGCGATTCAAGTGCTTTTGTATGGAATTTTTTTTCAACATTTACAGTTCCACGAAAACCGCTTGGAACATTTGGTGTTGTAGTGCGAATTGGATATCTTTGTTCACGTCCATTTTGGTTTTGAACCACTGTATATTTATCATTAGCGTTTGCTATCGCTACCTTTTGTACTTGCGTTGGAGATTGTTGTGTAAAAGTGCTGGGTAATGTTGGGGTTTCATTTTTATTATCTTTTCCATCAGATTTGGGAGTATTGGAATTTGAGTCCATCTTAATCGGGTTTTCATAATAATCGTCTTCGTCGTCATAATCTTCGTATGGTTCTTCGTCATCTTCATCTTCCGCCAAAGTACCTGATTCATTGTTTACTTTATTAATTGCTGCTAAATAAAAGTTGTTAACAAAAAATAATTTTTAAGTGATCTAAAGAATATTACTTTCTTTACTGGTTTTTGACGCTTTTAATTGTAAATCGGGTAATAGTCCCGGTTCAGCAGTTAATGCGGGGCCACTGTATAGAGTATCTACACGATCCGTTACACTAAAAGAAAGTCTGTTATTACATTCTTCATTATATTAAATGTTAAAATCGTACGCATCACCATTTCCAAACTGGCTAATGGAGTGAAATAATTCTCGGTTTTGCTCACGATAAGTTGCCACTTGTTCTTTTGTACCTGAAGCCGATTGTGCAGCACCATGGTAAGATACGCCATATCTTAATACGTAATTTAATAAATTGAATTTGTCAGTAAAAATATCTTATGTATTTACTTGGATGTGCCATGTATTTGAGACTGGCTTTGCCCTGAGTGACTACCAGATTGAGCAGAAGCTTGCCCACCACCGTTTGATGAAATTAATTCGGTGCCATCTTGTCTAGGACGGAAACCTATTTGTGCTTGTGATGATGTTTGGCCTGGCCCGCTAGACTGAGCATCAGCTAATCCTCCCTTATCGTTTGCTTGAACCTGTATAGATAAGTTAAAATCTACTCTTCACTGGTATTAGAAAACTTGATCTCTTACTTCGCTTTGACTTTGATGAATTATTCCTCCACTTTGCGATGATGCTTTAGTTCCACCATTCTTTGAATTGACTTGCACCTGAGCTTGTGATTGTGCTGCACCTCCCTGGCCTTGCGATTGACTCATTGCACCCTCAACACTTCCACTAACTTGTGCATTTGCTGAACGATCACTATCTGAAGTCATTGCGCTTGCACTAAATGTACCAGAAGAGCTATATGTACCAGAGACTTGAGTCTTTGCTGTACCTCCATTCTTCTTTCCTTGAGCACTTGCAGCTGCCTGTCCATCAGCTATTGAAGACTCAGCTTGTGAAAATGCATCATCCGCTCCACTTGTACCATCCCCAGTAACTAATGAACCTGGAACACCTTTCACAAATAGTACATGCGTAAGTATTTTACATATGAGTTAGAAACTATAAATTACCTTCTGTTTTATACTCACCTACAAATTGACCTATCGGACCAGTAACACCGGTAAATCCAGAAGGAAGTCCCACAGCACCAGGTTGTGCATAACCGCCAACAAGTTGGCCTGGTGGCAATAAACCTCCTCCAACTCCGGGCTGACTCGGCAATAAGCCTTGTTGTCCAGGTACAAGTTGATCTGCACCTATACCAGGCTGTCCGTAAATACCGCCAATTTGTCCAGGTATAATTTGACCAACACTAACACCTGGTTGTCCTGGTGCAAGACCTTGTTGACTAGGTTGTCCAAAAACACCACCAATTTGTCCTGGTGCTGTACCAACACCTAATTGACCTGGTAGTAATCCTTGTTGACCAGGTTGAACGGGTACGTTATAAAGTTGATCAATTTGTCCTGCTCCTACACCCGGTTGGCCAGGTGTGACACCTAGCTGACCAGGTTGTCCCGGTAATATACCCTGTTGACCAGGTTGTCCGTACCCGCCACCAATTTGACCAGGTGCACCTACTCCAGGTTGTCCTGGTAATACACCTTGTTGAACAGGTTGACCGTAAATGCCACCAATTTGACCAGGTGTACTTACTCCAGGTTGTCCTGGCAATACTCCTTGTTGACCTGGTTGCCCATACACGCCACCAATTTGACCAGGTGCACCTACTCCAGGTTGTCCAGGTAATACACCTTGTTGACCAGGTTGACCGTACACGCCACCAATTTGACCAGGTGCACCTACTCCAGGTTGTGCTGGTAATACACCTTGTTGACCAGGTTGACCGTACACACCACCAATTTGACCAGGTGCACTTACTCCAGGTTGTGCTTGTAATACTCCTTGTTGACCAGGTTGACCGTACACGCCACCAATTTGACCAGGTGCACCTATTCCAGGTTGACCTGGTAAAACACCTTGTTGACCAGGTTGACCGTATACGCCACCAATTTGACCAGGTGCACCTACTCCAGGTTGTGCTGGTAATACACCTTGTTGACCAGGTTGACCGTACACACCACCAATTTGACCAGGTGCACTTACTCCAGGTTGTGCTGGTAATACTCCTTGTTGACCAGGTTGACCGTACACGCCACCAATTTGACCCGGTGCACCTACTCCAGGTTGTCCTGGTAATACACCTTGTTGACCTGGTTGCCCATACACACCACCAATTTGACCAGGTGCACTTACTCCAGGTTGTCCTGGCAATACACCTTGTTGACCAGGTTGACCGTACACGCCACCAATTTGACCAGGTGCACCTATTCCAGGTTGACCTGGTAAAACACCTTGTTGACCAGGTTGACCGTATACGCCACCAATTTGACCAGGTGCTCCAACTCCAGGTTGTCCAGGTAATACACCTTGTTGACCAGGTCGACCGTAAATATCACTAATTTGACCAGGTGCACTTACTCCAGGTTGACCTCGCAATACTCCTTGTTGACCTGGTTGCCCGTACAAGCCACCAATTTGACCAGGTGCACCTACTCCAGGTTGACCTGGTAAAACACCTTGTTGACCAGGTTGACCGTACACGCCACCAATTTGACCAGGTGCTCCTACTCCAGGTTGTCCTGGTAATACACCTTGTTGACCAGGTCGACCGTAAACATCACTAATTTGACCAGGTGCACCTACTCCAGGTTGTCCTGGTAATACTCCTTGTTGACCAGGACCGTACACGCCACCAATCTGACTTGGTGCACCTACTCCAGGTTGGGCTGGTAAAACACCTTGTTGACCAGGTTGACCGTATACGCCACCAATTTGACCAGGTGCTCCTACTCCAGGTTGTCCAGGTAATACACCTTGTTGAACAGGTCGACCGTAAATATCACTAATTTGACCAGGTGCTCCTGCACCAGGTTGTCCAGGTAATACACCTTGTTGACCAGGTTGACCGTACACACCTCCAATTTGACCAGGTGCACCTACACCAGGTTGTCCTGGTAATACACCTTGTTGACCAGGACCGTACACACCACTAATTTGACCAGGTATACCTACTCCAGGTTGTCCTGGTAATACTCCAGGTTGACCATATACGCCTCCAATTTGACCTGGTGCACCTACACCAGGTTGTCCTGGTAATACACCTTGTTGACCAGGTTGACCGTACACGCCACCAATTTGACCAGGTGCACCTACTCCAGGTTGTCCTGGTAATACACCTTGTTGACCAGGTTGCCCGTACACACCTCCAATTTGACCAGGTGCACCTACTCCAGGTTGTCCTGGTAATACACCTTGTTGACCAGGTGCTCCTACTCCAGGTTGTCCTGGTAATACACCTTGTTGACCTGGTTGCCCATACACGCCACCAATTTGACCAGGTGCACCTACTCCAGGTTGTCCAGGTAATACACCTTGTTGACCAGGTCGTCCGTACACACCTCCAATTTGACCAGGTGCACCTACTCCAGGTTGTCCAGGTAATACACCTTGTTGACCAGGTGCACCTACTCCAGGTTGTCCTGGTAATACTCCTTGTTGACCTGGTTGCCCATACACGCCACCAATTTGACCAGGTGCACCTACTCCAGGTTGTCCAGGTAATACACCTTGTTGACCAGGTCGTCCGTACACACCTCCAATTTGACCAGGTGCACCTACTCCAGGTTGTCCAGGTAATACACCTTGTTGACCAGGTGCACCTACTCCAGGTTGTCCTGGTAATACTCCTTGTTGACCTGGTTGCCCATACACGCCACCAATTTGACCAGGTGCACCTACTCCAGGTTGTCCAGGTAATACACCTTGTTGACCAGGTCGTCCGTACCCGCCACCAATTTGACCAGGTGCACCTACTCCAGGTTGTCCTGGTAATACACCTTGTTGACCAGGTCGCCCATACACGTCACTAATTTGACCAGGTGCACCTACTCCAGGTTGTGTGACACCCTGTTGACCTGGTTGTCCATAAATGCCTGGCTGACCTGGCAAAGCGATTTGTTGACCAATTTGCCCAGGTAAAGATCCTGATGGTAACTGTGTTAAGAACCCAGCATCTGAGGGTTGACCAGTTGTTATTTGTGGCTGTCTAAGTGCTCCAGTTGGACCTTGTGGTTGACTAACACCTCCAGTTGGACCCAAGGGAGCCTGTCCTGGGGCAAGTCCAGGAACTCGTCCGTATGATATTTGTGGTTGACTAATCCCTCCACTTGGACCTACAGGTGCTTGACCAGGTGCTGCACCAGGTGCGGCACCAGGCGCTTGACCATATAATATTTGTGGTTGTGTAACGCCTCCAATTGGGCTTGTAGGGCCTTGTCCAGGTGCACCTCCAGGACCTTGTCCATATGTAATTTGTGGTTGACTTACGCCAATTGTTGGTAGCTGTCCTGGCAGTCCACCTACTCCTGGTATGCCAATGATAGGACTTGGTCTTCCTGGTACGCCTGGTTGTGGACCAATTGCTGATATTGTATCTGGTCCGGTAGGATATTCTATATTTTTTTTCAAAGAAGTTTATCGCTTTCATAAATTTATAAAATGAAGTTATATGGTTTACCATATACGGGGGTGCCTCCGCATTCGCTACAATCGCCCATTGAAAACTGACTTTGCGCTTGTCCCATTCCATGACTTCCAGCTGCAAATAGATTTAACGATTTTTTTAATAAGAAATATTTTATAAAGAGAAAGAATAAATTGTGTAATAAATATGTCTGAAAAAGAATGTAAGTCTAAAACTTACAAACTGTTGATCTAGAACCGCCCTCATTTGCCTCTGCTTCAGCTTTGCCATCTTCTTCAGGTTTACCAAAATTTAAGTACTGTGATTGAGTTTGTCCTCTCATACTGAAAGATATTTTAAAAAGGGTAAAAGATATAATATGCTACAAATCAGATATAATATGGTAAAAATGTAATTATAACTTACTAGCCTCTTCCGCCTCTTTTTGTCCTTTGACTATTTAGTTGGTCAATAAGATCTACTTTTGAAAATGTTTCCCCACTATTCTCAGAGGGTGAATTCTAATAAATAAAAAAATGAGATAAATTATTCTTTTTAAGAAAATATTATATGTAAAATTATTTATTGTTATAATTTTAACATTATTTGTGCTGTATAGTCGAAAATGAATACTGTTTTTTGTTATCACTAATTACACATTATTACAATTTTTTATTTTATCCTTATATCATGGACCTCACTTAAATTAATGGGTTGAATTTCATTGAAGTGGATGTTAGGCGGTTTATTAAGAAATCAGTTCAACTTTATCAGATTACTAAAAAGAAAGGTGCAATTTTGACTTCAAGCTATTGAATATTAATTAATGGTTGGACGGTCAGCTATTTTTAGTTGGGAAGTAATGGATAGAAGTGTGAGATTCCTTGCTAAGAAGTTAACATATTCTGTTAGCCTTTTATTGTATTTCTTTTTTATATTGTCGAATTCAGCTTTAACTAAGAGAATTTGAAGAACTTGGTGGATACTTTTATATATATCTTGAGGCACCAGTAACTCTTCTCAGTATTTTTGACTGAGCTCTTCGAAGAATTTCAATATTTGAAGCACTAGCATTGAAATATCAATTGAAATATTAATAATTAGTTATGAGCATTAATTAAAATTATGATATAAGTTATAACCTACATAGAGAAAGTAAATGGAATAAATGGCTTAAAAAAATATAAAAAGCAATAATTAATGTTAATAATAATTATTTTTCCAAATTTTTGAAAATATTAAAACATAATTTCATTGATATACTATTTTTCGCATCCTCTAAATAAAAATTGTTTATTAGAATTATTATAGAGGTATTCACTCTGTTTTGGAAACACACTGCAAGATGCAATGATGTTGCAATTCTGCAAGAGAGGTGTTCTCGCACTCTTGCAAATACAGTATAGCATACCTGCATTTCGCGCACCTTGCAATAATTTTGTAAGACAGAGTGAATAACCCTTATAAGTTACGAAAATGTGTCTGAAGGAAGGTCTTTAGTGAAATATGATGGTAACATACAATTATATACTGTCAGGAGGTCAAGCGTCATGAGGGCTCTTTAGTCTGTAAAAATTAATTTGAAAATACAAGATTATTGCCTCTAATAATATTGTATTAAGATGCGGATCGTTAAATTTCGCCAACCACGACTTAATAGTGTAAGTCAATGACAAATAAAACAATATCCAGAAATTCTGAGCTGTGGAAACATAAAAAACTAATAAGGACATTGAAAATATCTTAGTCAGTTGCCTGCTTTTCAACATACAAAGCCTTTCGGAATACCGAACCCCAAATTATGGTCTATCCTTAAGTTTAATAGATTTCTTCTTCGCTTCTAATAATATTGTTATTAATATATATGTACATATATACATTATTTAAAAAAATTTTCAAAGTCTATTTACCATTTTGATTATCAGTGGGCTTTACTTTGTATAAGCTCATAAAAATAAAATTTGAAATTTGAAAATAAAATTAAATAGAATTCAAAGTGAATTATAAAAAATATAATAAAGAAACTATTTAAATGTTGTTTCAAAATTGTGTCAGTCTTATCTTGCCTTGAATTGAAGATGAATTTTGAAACTGACCTTGCCTCTACATAAATATATTTTGAAATATGACATCATTTTGTTATCAGTAAGAGCAAAGAGACCGTACATATGGACAGTTGATCTTCACACTGGATTAAATTTGTAATTGCACATCTAATATGAGTATATATATGTATTTTTGTGATTTTAGTTTGATTTTCTATGTTATGTGAACTTTTAAATAAAGGTTTTGATGTATTATTATTTATATGACATTTAATTATTATTATATTATTATTATTTTTACTATTACTATTATTATTATTATATATATGACTTGAATAGACATCAGTTTTGCGAATAAATGGAATAAAAATGTTTGGTGTTACATCTATTAACTACATAAAATAACTAAAAGTGGAAAATATATGCTATTTTATTTATTAATAAATTTTGGATAGAATTAATTATTCACGGTACTGGTTTATGTTACCTTAGAGACCATTAAAATAACTACCTACTACTACTTTCTTCAACTTACCAATAACAGATGGAAAGCACTTAAGTCATGTGCAACTTCCAGATTAACATGGCCTACCTATAATAAAATTAGATCCTTGGAACTCATTAAAAGAAACCGCGTGAACACTGCAAGTTTACTGCAGTTCTATATGGTCATTGTTGTATAGGAACCCACGCAGAGAAACTGCGTATACCTCATAATTCTCACTGCAAAAGTTGTGGAAACTCGCAGAAAAAAGAAACTCTAATACCTTTTCTCTGTGAATGCCCGGCTTTGGCGTCTAGAAGAAATAGGTTTTTAGGAAAATACTTCTTTGACAGTTTATCAGACTTTTCGTCGGTGAAGACGAAAGACCTACTAAATTATCTAAATTCGACTGGATAGATTTAGTCTCTACTCTTCTATGTTAGGAATTCTTTCGGAGGATATGGTGGCAAAACGGTGAAAAATCGCTAATTGAGGTACATGGAAGTTATCTAATGGCCTGACACTTCAATCAAACAATCAACCAATTTGCTCCGTGAATTTATGAGTCTGCATTTGGAAATTAAAAATATTTGAAATTACAAAACTGAATATAGTCACAATAGAGTCACTATTAGCGTAGAATCACTAAAAGGAATTATTTGATTTTTGATTTTTTTTTTGTTTATTATATTATTTATGTGTATGGAATATTGCTTTAAAACACAGATGCGTAACTTTACAGTATGGATTTTTGTATAAAATTATTTTTTTAGCATTATGTGTAACTTTTCATTTCTGAATCCTTATAATTAAAGATGATTATGATTTTAAGTTCTCTGCTATTCAATAAGAATTAAAGTAAAAAAAATTAAGTTAATAAGAATTTTGTAGGCATAAGTAGAGATATTTTCATAGCATCTAGTCTCACACATCTTAAAAATCGTAAACAGATCTATAAAAATTATATTTTTTACATATATTTAAATATATATATTCAACAGTCTAATAGACTTCAACTTTAATTTGTATTAGAACAAAAAATTTAGTAATACTAGTTTAAAGTTTAGCAGACATGTAACGAAAGTTGTTGTGTTTTTATTGTAACTTAAATAAGGCTGTGAACCGTTTAAAAGCCGAATCGGTCATAACTGGACTCATTGGCTTTTTAGAGAAATTTAATCAAACCGAACCTGTGAGCTGATTGGAGGAACTGAAATATTTCGATGTAAAATTCTAAAATATATAACAAATGCAAAGATATAAGAATATATAACAAATAAGTTTGCATATGTAATTTATCTAAGTTGCTTCATATTTATTCAAATTAAAAGTTTTTAAAACGAATCTATAATTCAAAGTTTCGAACCACTAAATCGAAATACTTCAGGAATTCATATGGCCCACGGATCAGAAATTTCATTTTCATAAATGTTTTATTTATTAAATAACTTATAAGCACCAAGTCGTAATAGAGTATTGGAAAAACTATATTGCAATCTTGATAAGCCGCCTGAAATTGTATAACAACATATAGTATAACTATTAAAAATAAACAGTGACAGATACTCAAGTTTTAAATACGAGAACCATTGGCTTAACCATTAGATACTTTGAAAAAGTATCTGTATTGTATTGATGGTTACAAAAAAAACTTATTTAAAATATTAAGAAAAAAAAGTTTTTCTAAAAGAACTGGTATCAGAAGTATACAATAAGTTGCCCTGACGGATGATAAAGAAGACGACACCAACTAAACTTTTTATGAACAGCTTGAACAAGCATATGATCGCTGTCCCCAACATGACATCAAAATCGTTGTAGGTGACTTCAACGCAAAGGTGGGTAAAGAAACTATCTTTGGTGCTACTGTTGGAAAATTTAGCATTCATATAAAAACTTCTGTTAATGGAAGACGGCTGAGTGAATTTGCAGCGGCTAAAAACATAGTGGTTAGTAGTACACAGATTTCAGCATCTCAACATACATAAGATAACATGGCTGTTCATTATTAGTGACAAACGATTTGAAGGCGCTAAATACTATTAACTGGCGACAGCAAGTAACTAAACGGGCTGGTTGGCTAAGGCTATTCGAGGCGGCCAAAAACAACTCATGTCTGTAATGGCATGTAATATACGATTTAAGGGACCATTTTGAAAAATCCCCAAATATTCTGTGACTACTATCTAATATTTATCTTAAAAACTAATAAATACATCTCATATCCGCTCAAGAATACATAAAATTGTGGGGAGGCTACTATATTGCTTAATAAGTATCTTTAAGTACTTCATAAGTCCCTTGTATATTTTTAAGGATTGCTATCTGATATCTAATATTAAAATTGTAAAAACTGTTTGCATTAAGATATATAAGCAATATATCAGTATTTTATCAATTCATCTCTCTAAGTTGTACAAGATTAGATATATTATATTGGAATATTTTAATGCATTACAAACATCTTGACATAAATAATTATTTCACTTTATCTATGAGCATCACGTTTTCCTATAATTTTGTAATAGAGTAATAGTTATTTTAAATAAAATTTAAATATTTTTCTATATGGTAATTAATAAGCCGTTATATTATATTTTCAATTAAGTTCTTAATTATAATGATTTTTTTATATTAAAATTGATAATTATAACGTAAAAGTTGTTAAAAAATTGTTTAACTTTCGGTTCATAGAATAATTTTCTTGTAAAATACAAGTACTAAAACCAATGGTCTAATTATATAAATAGCTTAAAGGATCTTTAATTTTTGCTAACTATATATTTACTATAAGAAAAAAAATATTTTCTTAATTTTTATAAGTTTGTATCTCGTATAATATAAAGTATATCAAGGATCAACACTACAAATCACTATGATATTATAATTGTTTTATTTTGTATCCATTTCTATAAAATATTATATTACTCAAAAGAAGAAGAATAATTCGAAATATTAAGTTTCATATTCTTTAATATATTGATGCTTACGAATATAAATCTTATCATTTTATTCAAATTTTTAAGATTTTATTTAATTTTAATAATATACCTAATAATGATAATGATTTGATTTAGACCTTCTCATACAGCGGCCAAAAAAAAATTTTCTAAACAGAACTAAAGAAGTCAAATTTATATTTTTATTGAAACTAATAATATTATTATTTGTAAAACTCTTTAAATTAAATTCAGAGAGGAAGTACTTAGCTCATATATGTAAAACAATTAAAAATAAATGTGCTTTTTAACAGCATCAAAAACGTGAAATAACAGAAATAAAAGAAGAATTTACAAAAATAGCAGCAATATTTCAATTAAAGTACAAAGTCTTGTTATACAACCAAGTTATTAAGCCAATCTGGATGTATGGCTTACAGCTATATGACAATGTCTGTTCATCAAATGTAGAAATCCTGCAAAGAGTTCAAGCAAAGATCCTTAGAATTATAACAGGTGCACCCTGGGATGTCAGAAATGAAAACATACATTTCAATTTAGGAGTTCCGATGGTCAAAGTCGAGTTTGAGTGAATAAGGCAGAAACGTATTTCAAATCTTGAAAACCATTTAAATCCGCTGGCAGACTTCTTGCTAATATGACAACTTTCTATAGACTAAAATGAAATAATAGACCCGCCATCCTGCTTTTCTAAAGATCACTCTGATTAATTCAACTTATACGCCGTCATATCTGGTAAATAAGACCTGACTACTTATTCAGAGGTCTCTTAAAATAATTTTCAAATCATTATACATTTCATTATAAAATAATTTGTAATTTAATGTTATTAGTTTTTAAGATTCTAAAACTTATAGCGATTCAATAAACACATGGTGTTAAATTAAAAACAAAAAAAAAATATTGCGGAAGCATTAAAGGAAGAATATTTTTACAAATTAGGTACTTTAGTATAATGTTCTTATAAACATTTTAAAATAAAAAATTAAATGTATAAATGTGAACGAATAAGTTTAGATCCTAAGTTCCAGAAAAATGTTAAAAATTAATATTTTATTAAATTTTATTGAATAAGAATTCAAAACGTTTTTAATGTTCTAAATGTTTTAAAAGGATTGCACAACTTTGAGATAAAGTATATCGGATTTCTTTAATTTTATGCTAGATAATGTTTTAGAGGTCTTCTTTTATATGTTCGTATATAAAATATATTACTTACCAAAGCTGCTCCATTAACATTGGTGATAAGGACAGCAAATCCAAGAACGAATGCCCAACGTATGGGCAACATTTTTTATAAATAAATACAAAACCAATTTTGGAAATACTTTTTGTGCGATCACTAATTTCGCTAATTACACTAACACCAGCAGACTAAATTAAATAAGAAATTTTGATTTAATTATAAAAAATTTAATTTAATTTGATTAAATTTAAAAAAAGATTTCTTTAATTAAATTTGATTAAATTTAATGAAAGAATTGTTTAATTTAATTTGATTAAATTTAATAAAAGATTTGTTTAATTTAATTTGATTAAATTTAATAAAAGATTTGTTTAATTTAATTTAATTTTTGTTAATTTTAGTTTAATTTAAGTTTAATTTAATTTAATTGAATATAATTTATTTAAATTAAAATAACATTAATTTAAATTAACTAATAAATTTAAAATTTAAATTTAAATTAGTTTAATATTTATTTAATTTAATAATAATTTAAATTAATTAATAAATTTAAATTGTTATTATTATTTAAATTAATTAATAAATTTAAAATTTAAATTAAAATTAATTTAATATTAATTTAAATTCACTAATTAATATTAGCAATTTAACAATTTGATTATTTTTTTAATTATTCAATTAAAATAATTTGATATTTATTTACAAAAAAATTTAATTTAATTTAATAACTAGTGTTATTAAATAAATATAATTTTTATTATTAATAATTAATAATAATACTATTTTTATAATTTATATATTTTATTTTATTTAATATTACGTCAAAATTTGATTAATGTAAGTTTATTTTATTTTAAATAAATTTAAAATTTATTTTTATTTATATATTTTATATATTATTGTATATTTAATATATATTTATTAAGTTTTCAATTTTATTTTAATTTATTTTTATCTATACTTTGATGTAATTCTAATTAATTTTAATTAATATTAGTTCAAATAATATTTTAACTTTTCTATAATTATTTAAATTAAGTATCCTTTTTTGCACTCTCTAAGTTAAACTTGTGGCGACCCAGTTGGCTGTGCATTTATTGAATTTAAAAAGTAAAATTCAATTTCAAATATTTTTAAGTTTTTGTTTTGATTGATGAGAACGTTTCGATTTTTCTCTCTGTAAAAAGTTGAATAAAAGTTTATTAACATTGAAAATTTTTAGAGTTTTATTAATTAGCAAGGTGAACAGATCATTGCTAAATTGGTGACCCCGACGTGATCTCGAAAAAGTTTAAATTTAGAAATATTAACTTCTGAGCTAAATATCTAATTATCGAGCTGTGATGTCAGTTGCAGACGAAGGTGTAGTAATGGCTTCTGATAGTGGAAGTGTCGTAAACCGTGTAGCAGTGAAGGTGCCACCGTTTTGGCACGAGCGACCGGAGATTTGGTTTGCTCAGATCGAGGCGCAATTTGCAGTAGCTGCCATTACGAGTGACATCACACAGTTCAACACGGTAGTAGCAGCGATTGAGTCAAGTGTTATCGCCGATGTAAGTGATGCAGTGCTTCATCCTCCTGAAACTGGAAGATACGCTAATTTAAAGGCTTGCATCATAGAGCGGTACAGTGAGAGCGAGCAGCGGAAGATTCAACGGTTGTTGTCAGAAGTTGAACTTGGTGATAGACGCCCAACACAGTTGCTAACGAAGTTGACAGCGTTAGCTAAAGACAAGGTGAGCGATGAGTTCCTTAAGTCTCTTTGGCTGAAGCGTTTGCCACCACAAGTGCGCGCTATTCTGCAGGCATCGAACGTGGCACTAGCAGAACTGGCGAAATTAGCAGACCGTATTTGCGAGGCGGGTGATTTTCAACAGATAGCTGTAGCGTCAGCCTCTGATTGTCCAGCCTATTCTGAGAATGCTGTGATTTTACGAAGGCTTGAGCAAATCGAACAGCGTCTGAGTCGTTTGGATTTACGTCGTAGTGAGTCGGTGCAAAGTCGATCGTCATTAGCGGAATTTCGTGATTAAGAGTGGTGTTGTCGACTTAGTTGTGGTGTCGCGTTGTTGCTAGTACTCCATCGCTAGGAGGGGGTACTGTGGCGACCCAGTTGGCTGTGCATTTATTGAATTTAAAAAGTAAAATTCAATTTCAAATATTTTTAAGTTTTTTGTTTTGATTGAGGAGAACGTTTCGATTTTTCTCTCTGTAAAAAGTTGAATAAAAGTTTATTAGCATTGAAAATTTTTAGAGTTTTATTAATTAGCAAGGTGAACAGATCATTGCTAAAATACTTATAAAACACTATATATGAATATATATATTCATATGAATTTTTTAATATAAATATTATTTGTAATTAGTAGAATATGGTTTATACAATTTTTTGTACATTAGTTTTTTCCAATATAATTTCACTTATTTTCCACAATATTTTTGATATTTTTGAATATAAGGATATGTAATTTTATTTTTTACATGTGTTACCACAGGAATGTTTTATATATTAAACTTAAATTGTATGTAGAAATATATTTTAATTTTTATTTCTGTTTATTATAAAAAAGTTTATTACTTAATTGTTATTGTAATTTCATAAATTGTGTACTATATTAATGAAAAAAAATTTTTTCACTATAAAGTAATTTTTATCCTCGAGCATTATTTTATTTTTAATCAAAATATTATATATATCACTTAATTATTTTTGATAAATATTTTTAAAATGAATATAATCCATACTTTTCTACTTCAGGAACCGATTCCTGAGAATTTTGCTTCCGATCGCGACAACTGCTGGATTGCGAATAACGCACAATACTTTTAAGAACTAAGAGCTCTACTTGAAAAACTTTTGATTAAAAAAGAAAATTATAAAAAAATATTAATTTACAAAGACTTTCGTATAGTTTCACAGTAATATATTCAATACAATTATAAACATTTGTGTAGGACTTAATTACGAACACCAAGGCAATGAAAGCACACCAAGCCATACATGCACGGAATTATGAGAACGAGTATCAAAATTGTAGATCGTGTGTCAATCCATCTGTGATCATTTTACTTTACACTTTGGCTCATCAATTTTTAATATGAATTTTTCATTTCAACACTATTTATGCTGCTAAATGTTTGTTATGGAACACTTATATGGAGCAGACTTATGGGTATCACTTTATCTCTAAAAAGCTAAAAATCTATGTACATTTGTGTTTATATATATATGTGTGTAAGTGCCGTTTAATATATTATATGGTAATTTGTTTATGTGGGTATATTGAAGACAACAACTTGACAAATATATGTACTAAGCAGCATAAGCAAAAGTATCTCAGCCTTATAAAACATTAAATTGTCATAGACTTTTGACCCATTTTAGTAGAGTAGGAAATTCAACTGAAGCTCTTATAATGTAACGGGTTCGTTTGATTCTTGTAATTGCAGCAACAATAAAAACAAGACATTTAGCACTTAGCATATTGCTTTTTACCATAGAAGCTGCTATGCGCCGCACCATACGCTCTACGTCGATACGTTCCGTTGTATATGTCATTTGCATGTTGCGACTGTTGCGACTGTTGCGACTGTTGGTTTGTTGAGCGATGATCAATGACTCGTCTCCATTACTCTGGCCATTATCGTATCTATCTATCGATCGTTGTGTCTGTTTGCTACGTACTGCTCGCTGTCTGCTATTGCACAGTGTCCCTGTGTTCATTTTCATAGATTCATAGATTCCATTAAAAATTCTCAAGTGATCAATGTAAATATTTTTATATTATTTTATTTTAAATACGAGTAATTTTGTTTTTAATTGTTGTAGTATACGCACAATTGTCAATTTTTTCTTAGCTTTTTCGTAATTGTTATTGTTTATTGCATTTTTTTTTGTTTTTTTTGTAAAAAAAAACTATTTAAATGAGTTTTTTCAATTAGAAATAATCAGTATTTCCCTGGCATTTTTTCTTCCATATTTCATGTCTTGTGGCGCTTCTGGCGTGCTTTTATTACAAATTGTGTAAATATTGTTTAATTATTTAATTAAATGGCGACATTGTCAGTTTCATTTAAGTCGGAAACTTTAAAGAAAGGAATTACGAACGTGCTCCAATTTAGTGCGGCTTTAAGTTATTGATCATACATTTATTTTAGAAGACACATAATTAGTCTAACAGACCAATTAAAGACAGTCTTAGATATCTGTATTTAAAAATAATATATGTTTTTATATCATTTTTTTATAAGAAAGTACTAAGTTATAAATAATATTACCTAAAATATTATATACGTTTCCATATCTTAAGTTGGTTCAACTTAAGTAATAGTACGCTCACCCCTTCCCCCCAATTGTATCCAACCAAACTTTAAAGCTTAGATATATTAACTATGTAAATGTTACGACTTATTAATCCCTCCACACCTAACGTTGATACTGGAATGGGATTCCTAGCGCTAGACCTGCATGGTCCTTTGCTTGAAATGTATTCTCTACGTATTCCTAGGAGGTGGTTTTAGTGGGTGCAAGTTTCACACTGTGGCTTTCGATGCTTTCAACCAACTGCAAAAAAAAAAAATTATACGCGTTATACGTTTATTATATCCTTGTTTAGTAAAGCAATTATAAAAAGAAGAAAAAGAGTCTACCTAGGCCATATTATGAGAAATTCAAATTATGAACTACACCAAATGATTATTGAGGGAAAAATCGAAAGGAAACGCGGTATCGGTAGGAAACAATTTTCATGGCTGTGAAAGATACGTTAATGGACCCAGTTCGAGAGATCGACTGCCTCATGAATATAGCTTGATGCAGAGAGCAATACACAGAAATCGTAAAAAATTTGTAATTATGTTTATTCAAAGCTAATTTAAACAATTTAGTTTTATATTATGTGATCACTAATATTCGAAAGCGAATTGTCAAATAAAGAAGAAGAACCATAGCTACAACTTTATAGAAAGAGTTGATATGAAGTTAAACGATTGTCATTTAATGGATTACAATAAAAATTACGGAGGTCACTACTTATATTTTGAGCCTTGGCAACACTGATTGTTGTCAGATGTCATCTGACATTTCCATACGAAAGTTGGACATTATTTATTTTATTTGTCGAAAGAGCGTTATTTGGGGCATTTACAGTGATTTGTAAATTCACTGAGAAAATTTTCGTGGTCATGTGGCAACTATATCCGTACCATTATAGGAACGTAAAATGTCAATCTGTCAAATTTTGTTGCCCAATCAAACATTTTTAAAGTGATCTAACATTTTTGTAGTAGTGTTAGTAGGTATTTATATTTTTCATAAATAAATATATCGAATTACAACACACTTTATTTGTCAAGTCATCAAAAACAGCTATTAATTTGAGGGTAATCTTGTTTACTCTGGCAAAATATCTAGAGTGTTATAAATTAATCTCGAGTGTTATACATTTCACGCGAGATTTACCAATCAAAAATGAAAATTGCACTATAAGTATAACGATAAGAAAAGTTACCTCTGATTTATTGATCCAAATGGCATTAGTAAGCCCTTTTAAGCTAATTGGGGCTATAAAAAATCGTTGAATGCTATATCTTAATTGGCTTACGAATAAAATTTTAAGAATTATGTCAAGCGCAATTATAGTTGTAATATATTTGATGAGACGGCCTATGGCATAATCAGCTTCGAACATATGTATAGTTGAAACATTAAATGTAAATATTGCAAATAAGTACCTGAAATAAAGTAATACTTCCTTCTGAAGTGTAATAAAACAACACAAGACATACTTTAAAAGCAACAAACTTGCTTCTCCAAATTATACTTTGCATACTGAATATTTTGAAGAATATTCGCGGAAAGGTCTGAAGGCTATGTGGTTAAGAGATAGCATAGTTGCATTATACAGGGGGCGTTAATAACGAAGGTGATAAAATAAATATTGATTGAAAATAAATATTGAAAGTTTTCTTTTTTTAAAATGTCATGTACGTATATAGATAGATAATTAGATTATGTTAATTATACACAGAAATTTTTTTGATTAAAAAACAGGACCCGAGTTTGATTCCTGGTATTTGCAGTCTCAAAAATAATTATTTACGAATAATTAAATACAAGAATTATTTCCAAGACCACTGATAATGGGTATTTGGCAATACTCGAAACAGCTGTATGGGCAGCCAAAAATTCAATTGATTAAAATAATATAAAATGAATTTTTGTTGTTGTTGTTCACTACTGTTCGAAAAAAACCTCTTTAAAAAACAATTAAATTTAAAATGAGTTTTTTTTCAGCAAATATTGTCGAAAAATTTCTTGGAAGTCAATATTTCTATATTGCACAGTGGTTTTATGATCTACAGTTTGATTTCAAATAATTGGATGAATATTTATGTCTCGAGTCAATTTGAATAAAATTTAATTTAAAATAATCTAAATCAATTTTCACAATGCATAATCGGAACATTGCCAGTTTTAATAGTTTTGATATGGCACATTCATTCATTCTGTCGTATAAATATTGTATTAAATTGGTTTGCCCGTATTTTTAATTAAATTTTTGATATTATCAATTTGGGTTTCATCACTTATGCGTAAAAATTTATAAAAAATTTACAACATATAAATTTTTTAAGTGATCATACAACCTTGAATTAAGATCGTTTAAAATAATGTTTTATGAGTACGAGTAGAATAAATTAATGGGAACAATTCATTCATTATAGATTGTAACGTCCTGTCATATAAATTTACTGATAAGAATTCTCTTAAGTAAAGGGTCTCTATGTATGAAGCTATGATTTTTATATGTAAGATTTATTTTTTTTTATTTAAATTGTAAACCGACTAAAATTGGCAAAATTGTCAAATTTATTATTCCAAATAAGATAATGGCAAATTTAAAAATAAATGTTGCGTTAGAATTTTACGGTCAAGGGTTATCGGAGGAAAGAGTATGCTCATTAAAAAATTAATATTATCATTTTTTTTGCTTAGACTCTCTAGGGTTACGGATTTTGAATACTAACACAATGATCACATGTTCAACATATATTGTTAATTTAGCATTGAAAAATATGTTTTTTTGGTACAAATAAATGGAGAGCAAAATACAAAGCTCTAAAAATATAAATATTGCATATACATAGATGTAAGTACAATAAAAACAATAAATTGGTGAAAAGTACATCATGAATGAATATTAGGAATAGGGTGAAAAATTAGAACAACTTTGTAGATTGTAGGTTCTATGGTACTGTGTCTCAAAGAGATAGAAACTGAGACATAGGTATAGAATACTAAGTATACCAAATCAGTTAATACTAGTTCGATTAAATTTAGTGGAAATAAAGCTATACACATTTTCTTTGTAAACTAAAAATCATAAATTTTTTTAAAATATAATCTAAGCTAAATTTGTCCACACTTAGAATAAAACTACATTTCGCTTTATAAATTAGTATATTCTTTACAATATGCTAGCGGTTTAAATTTGACGACAAAGATAACACAACTAAATCCAATTATGAATAACAATCAACAAATTGAAATTATGTCTACAGTAGATATAAATACATATATGTATGTAAAATGGTGGAACCGTTAGAAGTAGTTCGCAGCTATTTTAGAAAGCTTGAAAATAACAGACTAGAGGTTGTGACAATATTAGTGTCGATTAATAAAGAGTGGCGGTAAATAATTGATAAATTCAAAAAAACTTGTCAAAAATATTTGGAAGAGAGAAGATGATGAGACATTGATATCGTGGCATTATTACACTTCCATACAAAAATCCCATCAAGCTAGATAGTAACAAATATAGAGCCATTACATGATATTTACGTCAAAGAAATTAATCGTGTAACACGCTTTCATTTTATCTTTCTTGTTCTGCCAATGTTGAGAGATATTCTTATTACTTGTCTTCGTAGCTAAGGTTGTACCTCGTCACACAATTTAAGGTGCTTGAACAGTTAAGGCTGCTGTGTTCCCAGTTCTTAAAGTAAAACATTTTAGTATACCAAAGTACGCATCACCTCTCAGTTTTATTTTGCATTATAGTCTTCTCTCACAGATCTACAGTTCTACCAGTTATGGAAGATATACAAGTTCCAAATCTAATTATAAAGTTTATATTAATCAATTTTGTAGGAATATCAAACAAGTATAGCTTTGTGTTATTTACGAATGTAAATGCGTTAACAGTTTTATTACCTGTATTATTCATAAAAGTAAGTGTACATTTCAGATATTCTTTATTTCCATTTGTGTAAAAATATAATCATGTACTCATATCGTTCCAACAAGCAAAACTATGCTAAATTTTAGTTTTAATGGTCACATTTACTTTATTAAAGAGGAATAGAGAATTTTAGAGGGTTTATGATTTACTAGGACTTTTGTTACTTTTCACTTTTGGCTCTGTACCTTCTGTTGTTTGTTAACTACTCCTTAAGTAATAGACCTTTATCAAAAATTTTTTTTTGTTATGTTGATACACCCTTTCTTGACATATGGTCCAAATTTGACTATATGCGCCATCTGTCACTTAGTTTGTTTACAGCAGCTGTTAATGTGAGATTACCTCAAGTGCATTTAGCGATTTTTACTATGGAAAATTTTTGTTGTACTTGATTTTTTGACCAAACACGGCACCACTGTCAAAACTCAGGCACCATATTCGCCAGATCTGGTGCCGTGCGACTTTTTCCTGTTCCCGATTGAATCGGTAAAAGAGAATTCGATGAAGGAACTAAAAGCCATACCTTCACGGGCCTACGAAACGTGTGTGAAAGATTGGGTTAAGCGTTGGAATATGTGTATCGCTTCAGAAGGAGCATATTTTGAAGGAGATAAAATAAAATTGGAATAAAATTTAAATTTGTGTGTTTTATTTACAAAATTCGAGTACTTTTTGAGCAGAAGGTACTAGCAGTTTTGATACAAGTTTAACAGAGTCTGTTTTTCAAGTGTCTTGTCCTTTTTAAACGTTGACAAACACGTTTATGTATAGCTAAATAGCCACCTGAAAAAAGTGTATAAGAGGTTAACAAGACTCTCTACAAATAGGCGGGATGGGATTGAAGTAATAGAGGTGAAGATATGAGCAAGAATTATGATGTTTAATGTAACGTGGGTCCATTTGAATTAATATTGCTATTAAAAAGGGGTAGTGTCACGAATCAATTGGATTTAAATTTCTGTGTTTATTTGGCCATATCTTCTGAAGTAGAGCTCTAGTTAGGACACCAATTAGGAAAGGACGCAATAATGCTTGAGAAGTAATTGCTTAGCACGTGGTTATATTGTGATCTGAATTAAGCAAGGATAGTTCTTGTTTTACGAAGGAAACATCTTTCATCATAAGAATGATCTTGTTTTAGTTAGACAACCGTTCTCTCGAACAGGATACTGCTTTGATATGGATAACGGATATCCATTGCTTTTAGTCGGCCTTACTATTATTTTCGTTTCTGTTGGAGGTGATGTATTTATGATACGAAGAAAGTGTGCGACTTATGCAACAAAGACAACCGTGCTCTGGAACAGGATACTGCTTTGATATGGAGAGCGGATATCCGTTGCCTTTAGTCCGCCTTACTGGTGTTATTTCCGTTTCTTTTGGGGGCAATGTATTCATGATACGAAGAAAGTGTGCGACTTATGCAACAAAGTTAGATGCTTTTATTCACTACGGTGCCGTTTAGACGTCTATCTGTGTAGCACGAATATAGTTAATGTTTTGACAGTAGTTGGTAGTGCATTTCAATAAGAAGTATGTTAAATTCTGTATGAACTCGTATGTTTTTACAGTAGCTTGTTTCGCTTTTCGACAAGAAGGATGTTAAATTCCGCATGAATACTAACAAAGTCAGGATTGATTTGATCGGTATTATCAATATGTTCAGAATATTTTTACTGCTAAAATAAATTCTTAAGCCGAGACACAACGTCTTTATCTTCCAGAACTATTTATTGAATATTCCAACAACAATTAACGATCTCTTGAATATTTAGCTTTTCTAGAAAAGTCTTTGCCAATATTTAGCTTAAATGAAACTTTTTTTTGGGTACTGTTTAATTATAGTAAGCGAATAAGTTAAATGAAATAATAATGCATTTAAAAATTTATTTGTTTTTATTTATTTTTTTTTGTTTTTTAAACAACTTAAAACTAAGAATCGTATCTTTGGTATAAATCGCTGTATATATCGTTGTAAACAAAGACTAAAAATACTATACAAAATGCTTTGTTTCTACATTTTAAACATTAACTTAATTTAAATAAATTTTAATTTTATTTATAATTGTGAATATAAATAAATACTATTTTTGTGTGCAAAATATACAAATTTCATAAATTTAAAATATTACAGATATAAATAAATAATCAAATAATTATAGTTTCGCAATATATTGCACTGATAATGGCCTTTTGATCAGTTCGTTATTTATACAATTGTGGCATATTCCATGTTTTAACATTTCGAATTGCTTGTACATAAATACTAAAAGACTAGAAACTCTCGTTTTATGTATATATACTATATAACTATATATATATATATATACATTTATGTAAGTAAAATTATGCTGTCATTTTTAAGTAATTATTATTTATATATTAAAAAAAAAAAGAAACATATTTTAAATTAAGCGCTTATATTTATATATTTTATTATATTAAATTTATATATTTATTATATGGTATATTTTATTATATTCAAAAGTGCTTTTATCTAATATAACTGGAATACCTATCTACATATTTGTTAATAACTCTACAATCTATACATAAAATCGTGCTCGAAAAATGTTTATATAAAATACTGTTTTAAAGTCTATACAATATCATATGTTTATATATATACATATATTGTATATATCTATATATATTTATATAAAAGTTTATTAATATGTATATTCAATGCATATTATGTGTAAGTATTCGTTATAGTTTTCACTTTCGTTGAAGGAAAATTAATGGAAACTACTTAAGTACTATGAAAATAAATTGGTTCTCTTCTTCAGATCTACGTATTATCACATGTTTTGCTATATTCTAAGGCTTGGGTAAAATTTTTTGGTAAAATCATTTGGTTTGTTCGTGATCGTTAATTTCTTAAAGTAAATAAGTTTTAATTTATATTATGCATATTTGTTAAATAATAAATTGTATTTCGCTTTGTATTATATTTTTTTTTTTAAGATTTTATAATTAAAACATAATTATTTTTAATAATTTATTAAAAAAAATATAAAAATATGTAGAAAAATTAAAAAATTAGGTGCAAACATAATAAGAGTTTATATGTTGGGTATATGTAATTTAATATTTTATATATACTACATATGATATACGGAAATACAACAATTAAAAATCTTGAGATCTAAAATTATAAAAAACTCATCTTTTTTTACAATATTTCCATTATTTACAAATATAACAGTTCGTACATTTTGGCTTTATTCGTTTTAAAATAATAAAAATTTAATGTAGATAAATTTATTTTGTCTTTTTAAATAAACCAAAAAACTAAAGAAACCAATAAGCTTATAACCAATTAAGCAACCAATGCATAATTTCCAGTCAATTCGAATGGACTTGTCTTAGCAGAATGAGAAAAGTTATTCTTTGGTGAAAAATCGACGGGTTCGATCTGAGTTTCGTTACTTACATTAGTATTGTAAAAATGTACTGACATTTGCGGGGTGAGTACTGAAGAATTAGTGACAATAGGTTTATCACTTCCAAACTCTTCAGCTTTAATGGCAGCAACAGCAGGTTGTATGACACTAATACGACTAAAGTGTTCATAATCCTGTTGAGACATAGGAGTGCTAAGCATTGTATATGACTTTTCTGAATGAAAACTTGTCATTTGTGTTGGAATATTATCTATATGAGGTATAGCCATAATCTGTAAATTAGTGTTCGCTATTTGTGGGGTTATACTAAGTGAAGCAGCAATTATATTATTATTATTCGTATTTGTGAAAGTCATTGGTATAGTAGCATAAGCCATGGCAGCTTGTTGACGATCCTTCTCCTTTTGCAATAATTTATTAGCTAAAGTTGATTTGGCAGAATCTGTGTTGTTGGAGGCGTTTAGGATATTACACTTAGTCGGTGATGTTGTTGTTGAACCTGTGGTTATTATGGATTGTGTAGTAGCAGATGTAGTCACAGTACGATTTACACGAGGTTCTTTATCGTTACGTTGATGATTTTTCATGCATGACGATTCTTCATGTTTATAAAGGTAGGATTTCAGTGCAAATGCTTTACCGCATCGTGGACAAGTATGCGGTTTCGTATTTGAGTGTGTTTGTATATGAGCACGTAGGTTGGATTTATCAGCAAATGCTTTATTACAGACGTTACACTTAAATGGTTTCTCACCTAAAATGTTTTTAGATATTATATATTAATATACTTATTTCAAATCAATGAGTGTAATATATTAACAAACCTGTATGAGTTCTTATATGACCCTGCAGTAGCCATGGTCGGGAAAAACATTTACCGCAGTATTGACACTCACAACCTTGATTGTGTGTGCGGACATGCATTGAAAATGCTGGCATAGATACATAAACCTTTTCACAGAAGGGACATCGACGCGCCTTTTTATCCATGATTGACCTAACAAATTAAATATAGTGAATATAATAAATAAAAATTGATTAATTATTATATGGTTTATTTTATTTATAATATCAAAAAAAAGTATAAATGTTTTAGTGGCCACACTTTATTTTTATATATTTATAAGCGCTAATTGATCAGTGTTAAATAATATGCAATTTTTTAAATTTGATTTGAAATTAATATATTGCTATTTCGATTATAGTCTATAGTTGTTATTGTATTCTAACCTAAAAGCAGATACCATGAAAGGTTTTACAAGACGAATACGTGGGTTAGGATATGAAGGGTTGAAGGTAGAGAAGAGAACAATAACAGAAAATGAGTGGATGGTGGATGAGTGGGATTTAAATTGAAATAAACTCAGACCCAGACGGAAAAACTTGGCCACTTTAAGGGGGTAGATTCAAAAGCCAATTGGACAGAGGTTTGTGTGTGCAGTGGGGTAAAGAACATATGGGCGACGTCATAGGTGGTACAGCTGCAGTTTGGACACATATAAGGAAAAAAAATGTTTATGCGTGACAAGTAATCGTTTAGCACTTGGTTTGATCTAGGATAGTTCCTGTTGCACGAGGGGGAAGTCGTTCTTCCTGAAAGAAGTTAGGTGGTGGCATTTTGAGAATCTTGTTGTGAGTTAATACTGGTCTCGAAGAAGATATTTCATCTGTGTGAAGGGTTGTACGTTCATTACATGAAGATTCTGCATAAAGATGGTCAACATACGACATGCGATAACAGGCAGTTACAATCCGTAATGCCGTGTTTTAGCATGATTAGATGTTAGTCCATTGCATTACGCAGAGTTGTGGGGTCCATACTGGAGCAGTATATATTGTAATAGGAAGTCCTATTGATGTGTATGTGTTCATTAAGGTTTCTTTGTCTTTAAGTTTTAAAAACGTAATTGGAGTATTTCAACCGACTGCAGATAGCTGAGGCATGTGTTGAAAATGTCGACATGCTATTGCGTATGAAACCATGCAGAAAAGGTCGACATGCTATTGCGCACGACACCTAGGATTTTGGGTTTTGTGGTTTTTGGAATCTTGATTTGACCGATATTTTTGGACCTCTTTAGTCCAGAAGGTAAAAACGGGGTCGGAGGATTTATTTAGTGATAGGTGAAGGTTTCTGTCATTATCATCATTTGAAGTCATCTGCATTCTGACTCCCTCAGAGGCGTCTGAGAGTTTGGACATATATGGTATAGGTTAAAAAGAATCGGTGAAAGAACGCTTTCCTGGAGTCTATATTCTTCTCTGGGTTATGATAAGATATTTTTTAATAATTTTAATTTTAAATGTATATAAATACTTTTACAATACCAATTACAAATGACAAATACATATACATTTATAAACAAATTATATATTAATCCAGATTTTGATTTATTAAATATGCTTTATACAATTGAGTATACTATTAGGGTGGAGGGTGAGTATTTTCCCTCCTTGGTGACAACCATGTCTGTACACATAGTAATGTATAGATAAATAATATGTATAATATAATGCATTTTCTAACTTAGTGTACCAAATTTTATATATTGTAAAAAACATTTGTATTTTGTGAAATTACTAAATAAGAATTGTTTATATCTTATACATAAGCTTTCTGAACACTTACCTATGGGTTTGTCGGTGCCTAGCTAAGTTGGACGATGTCGAATATTTTTTACCGCATTCAGGGCATATATGTTCATCATCAAGTAAACTTATTGTAGAACCTCCAGAATCTGTGTAATTACTTGTAAATTTATCAGTACTATTAAATTTTTCTACAGTTGCTCCAGAGAAATGCTCATCGCCACTACAGCTAGGTATGCTACTACATGAATGTTCATCATAACGAGAATTATCTGAAATCGTGGAACGACGTAATTTTTTTCGATCAAATACTTTATGACTGTAATAGTTTGAGTCATCATCCGATGATGAGTAAAATGTTTTGATTGTTGATTTTTCTGTTTCAGTTGTTATTGCTGATGAAATATTACTGCTTTGCAAAATATTTAGATCTTCATTTACGTTATTGTTGATATTTTCAAAATCATTTGTTTTTGTAATTGTATCATTATTATTTTGTTTCCAGATGTTATTTTGCAATACAGGATTTTCTTCATCAGTAGATAGAGAGCACTCCACATCTGGTTTGTTGCTGTGCCATTGTTTCTTTAATGGTATATTAAGTACTTCATAATCCATACTTATCATACATTCAGATTTTTTATTGCTATTGATATAATCTTTTATTTCACTGGCATTTGTTGTACTCAAACGTCCAGCAGCTAATGTGACCTCGGCTAATTGTGTCAAATTATATAATTCCTCTGGAATTGTGGTTTCCTGTTCTTTAGTCATGTTGAAATTTCGGCTATTGAAGCTGGAAATCAAAAAGTTGAACACATTAATATTTTTTGAAAATTCAATATTACTATCAGATAATATCAATTTTTTTATATTAATATTTAATTAATTTAAATTATAAAAATAAATTGCTAGCAAAAAATACTTCAGTGCAAGGCTTGGTATTAGTTCTTCGTTACTATTATCTGTAGTTTTAAAACTCAATATATTGTAAATTGTATATTTCATTAATTGAGTGTATTAATTTGTACTTATTATTCTGTCAGAATATGACCACAAAATCTATATGGATTTAAATTAAATACCGCATCGAACTATCTTCTCTGGCGACCTGAGATTAAACATTAATGTCTGAATTCATAACAATTACAATATAATCAAACCTGGAGATATAGAAAGAGATGAAACAGCAAAATAGATATGGAAAAGCTTCGAAATATTTGTAAATTTCTGGATAGTTAGCCTAAAATAAAATTTCCAGAATCAGTCTATTATTGAGAAAGTAAAACAGCACCTCATTCGCACAGTAATATTTCGTAAAACTAAGCTACCACAGATATTCATCAGCAAAAAGGAGTCCTTTAATATAACTAAATTAGGTAATAAGCAGCTCGGGAAATCAATGCAAAATAGGACGAAGAAGTTGTCAGCAAAAATATCATATTCATATAGTCGAAATAAAAGACATTCAAATTAATTTTATAGATTTAGTCATACTTTTGTGACTGTACGAGTAGAAGTAGCAAGTGAACATTTCCTAATAGAAATCCATGAGTAAATGCTATATTTCCAGATTTCTTCAAAAAAAACGATGATGCTATTATAACATCAATACTAAATTAGGAGGGAATAGATCTAATGTACATGGGCAGTAAATGGTTTTAGTGTGTTGGTTGTGGTGAACTATTGTGTAACCTAACTTAACATATCTCATTAACCTCATCTCATTAGGTTTCAGTTCGTTTCGGTTTGGTTTTCTGTGACTTATAAATGAGAATTCTATAAGATAAACAATGTCTCATGGTTTACAGTTTTAGCATGATCTATTAGCGTTTTTCGAGTTGATGTGGATATTTTTTATTTGGTTAGTCACAACCTCAAAAATCTTCAATATTGTGTGACTATCTAACATTGAATGATCTGAGTCTTTTTTTTACCACTTATTGTAAAAGTTGAGAAGTGATAATGAATTACTTTTTCTATGACCCAATTTGGGTTAACAAAAGAAACAGATTTTAAAAGAACTCATTTCTTGATAGTCAGACAGCTTATCAGTAGGAATAAAATATCCTTTCAGCTACATAAACGGTATGAGATGAAACTATTTTACCTATAAGGGCTCTTGTGAAGAATGTAGTATTATAACGGTTTATTATGAGAAGTGGAATAGTATATCTGCCAGTAAACTACTCAACCAATTAATCAATCTTCTCGTGAACGATTATAGCTTTGATGTATAAGCATGTTATATTTAATTACACATATTTTTGCACTATCGGTTTTAGTATTGGCACCATTAAATAAAAAAGACCGTAGTACAAGGTACATTACAAGGTAATGTAGAGTAGACTGTACAATACTTTTTGGAATGTTCAATTATGTAAATCTACTGTATAGTATGTGTTCGTATCAAGAATTGAATTTTTTAGTCTCTTAATTATTTCGTGATTTTATAGAATTTGGCGACTTATTTCAAAGAAAAAGTACGCTTGGATTTTTTGAAGTGGTTGCCTACATAAACAATATATAAACAATATATATAAAAAATATACTGTCAGATAAGTCTAAGATTCTTAAAACTTTGCGCGAATTTTTGAAGAACCGAAAACTTGTACGATACCCATACTTTAAGGTTCTTAGCTTTTTATTTTTAGTTTTTTATGTCTATTTTATATAAGTCATTATTATCTGTATCTATTGATCTGATTATCCTGTATGCTCTTCTTGTTCTCCCTTATTACTTTTTGGTACAATTTTTACTGATTGGCTTATTTTCTGATATTATTATAATATAATTAGCTATATTAATCTTTGGTTTCACCACATGTGGTATAAATATCGGACATAAAGATGATGTAGAAATGATGTATATTTTACAACACATTGTTCTAATTATTCTAGGTGCTAACTCCTGTAGGTCAATTATATTATATATATACCATATATAGCCTTAACGACTTGTTGAGCATCTAGAAAAATTAAAGTAATTTATGAAGGCAAGCTTTAAGAGAAATCCCAAACTAGCTTAAAGGATAAATTAATATTTAGGACACCATTTCACATAATATTCTTCAATTTAATTAAATTTTTTTTGAATAGTTTAATTAATCTTTGTTTTTGTACTATGGCTCATTATCTTAACAATGTGCACTTCAATCAAAAGTATATAAATTTTAATTTATTATAAACAAACAAAAATATAATCTATTTGGCACAAATTCGTCAAGCAAATGTTTTATATCTCAACATGAAAATAAAATAAGAACGAAAAAAAAATTACTTGGGCTCAGTGATTTGCCGTTCACGCGAATTGATCATAATGTCCGAGTGAATTCCGTGTGATGTGAAAATGACGTGTACTTAATTTTCACTCAAGGGTAAGGGGAACAGAAAAAGGTGAAACAACCTGCTAAATTCAAAAATGTGCGTCACTCTTTTTGGTGCTTTTCACGAAATCATAATTCATTGTAAATATAAATTGAGGCCAAATAAAAATTTTTAATTTAATTTTGAAGTGAGAGAGCTAAGAGAACAAAAATTTAAGTAAACAATTCTATGAAAATTTTGAGAAGATATATAAATGATTTTTAAATATTTGAATTGGTAAAAATTTGTTTATAATTTAAATATTAAAATGATTACAGAATATATTAAATATTTACTTAATTATGAATCAATAAATAATATATATGTGTATTGTGCAATAATGTATTTAAATCAAAATAAATAAATATATATGTTTTTAAATCAAACAACATATAATTAAACATTTTATGTATTTACAATATGACTGAATACAATTACAGATAGTAACCATATATGTATATGTATATATATACTATATATATTTTTTATTTATACTATAAATGCTTTTAAATATACTTGTATAGATAGATCAAAACTCAATACTTTGAAATTGTACAATATATAAACATAATATAATTAATATAGTCGAAATAAATTAAGAAAGTTATAGATAGATATATCCATATACTATATTGTATTAATCTAAACAACAAGAAGAAAATTGACTAATTTCCCTGTGAATATTCGTATTAATAATATTCTCCAACGTCATTTGTTATAAATAAAAACCGGATGAAAGCTAATGGTTCAAAGAGAACTTATATTTATTATTTTATATGCTCTTCATAAAATTATTCAGATAATATTATAAGTCATATTTCATAGCAAAATCGGATTATTAGAACAATTTGTTCAAATAGCTGTTCAAATTTAAATTTAATTATTAAAAGAAGGGATCGTGCATTGCGACCTAAAGGATCCATTGTGCCCCCTAGTCGAATCAAAGTGTTTCTCCAAGTCAGATTTCTTTAATGAAAGACATTATAGAGCTTATTTCTTATAGTCATGAATCCTTATATATATATTCAAGTTAACATGTTTAGAACATGTTTCTATAAGTACTGCTATAATATGATTAGAGCATTATTAATAAATATAATTCCTGTTACATTACACTAGAATTACATGAAATTTATTTATCAGAACAAGTTTATATTGATTTAAAGAAATAAATTGAAAAGATTTTCATTGATTTATAATATTTTTAAGTCTAAAAATTTGGCAAGGCTGCCATTATTAATTGAAATATGTTTTTGTTAAAATAATTTTAATGTAACATATTATATATATGTATGTAAAGTATCAATAAAATATAGGATTTTTTAAAATTTTTTAAGATTTAGTTGTTCGAATTATTCTACAGATTCTTTAATATATTCCGAGTTCCCATAGGAACGTTGACTTTTTTGACTTAAGAATATCCCCCGCCTCAACACACGATTGTAGTGCCAACTCACATTAAAAGTGAACTGTACGCTTCAATTATAGTTCACGTGAAAATGTGAACATTCTCTAAGTGTTATGTACAATTATCAAAGTGGATTTAAAATTAGAAATGTAAAAACATATTTTCACTTAAATGCCGTGTATCTTATTTTCCTTTCATCGTGTATTTTTAACATATAATTTTTCATACCTGTTTGAATGTGTCTTTTGAATTTAGTGCATATACCCCATGTTCAATTAGAGAACCGATATATACTAGAATGTATATAATGTAGTTCTCGTACTTAGTATAAGAGTACAAGTACATCAAACATGTGGCGATATTTTTCAAAGTCTATTTTTGCTGTTGTTGACAAAATTTTCGATGTCATATCGAAATTGTGTGCTTAAGTGACATTTTGATAATTAATTATTTTCTAACATAAAATTAAAAATAAGTATTAATTTTAAATTAATTAATACATTATATATTCGAAATATATTGGTTAATTTTATTTCATTTATAATTGTAATGGATTATATTATAGTTGATTTAAATTGGTATTGACTTATTAAATTAAAATTATAGAATTTTTTTCAAATAGGTGTCCAGGCATATTATTTATTCAAAAAATTAATTAGGTGTGATACAAAATAATTAGGTTCGCTGAATTATCTAATTGAAAGAAGATAAAATATGAAGATATATCTTATATGAAGATAAGGTATTTTATTTCTAATTGTTTACTGTTGATAAAAAATAGAAAATATTGCTAAGCGCGGTTAGTCAAATCAATATCAAAGCCACATCAAGATTCTGAACAGTCACTAATTTATAATTTCTGATAAAACACATCTCACTAACGCAGCAAAAACTGTCTTAGCATAATTACAGTTAAGATAAGATATGGAGATATATCTTATATATGGAGTCATATTGTTTCATATAAGTTATTTTGTTTCTAATTGTTATTGTTGATAAAAATTAAAAAATATTGCTAAGCC